ACTAGAGGTGTGGTTATCTTCCAGATCGCAAATTAGTTATTTGGTCTATAGAGGGCAGTCTTGTCCCACTAAACATACCTATCCAGGAAAGAGTTAACTTTTCCTGGTGGCTATTTTGACGTCATTTTGGCCTATCTAGATAGTGGCTATAACTTACGTATCCTTCAAAGATCAAAGGGTTTCTTAAATTTTGTCCAGACTATGTGTCTGCAAATCTGAGTTTTTTTTTTATATGGCAGATCATGAACTAAGTTTACCCTTTTCCATACAATGGTACCTTATATATATATAGACAGTTAAATTTTATTATTTAATCTTCTCTGTCACAATTGTCTGGGTTTAGATTTGATTATATTCTTCTTATCACTTGTTTATACTATGCTATGCATTCCTTAGCTCTGGCAAAGAGGCCAGTCTTACAGAAAGAAATCCTGTGTCTTTTTTGTTAATTTGAAATAACAAAATGGAGTCTGGTCTGTTCAGAGTGACTCAGAATATACACTTTTAGTTTCTATCATAGCACAAAATGTCTGCCGATATAAATACTCTGACAACACATACAGAACTTATAATAATCTCTATAATCATAATCTCTCTTCTTTTCTGAAACCAAAATGTTAAACATAAATAACCATAACTTAACATATATAACTTAACAAACAGGGTCATACAGTGAACCCAACACCACGCATCACGAAAGAACTAAAACACGCACCAATACCCTCTTAGGGGCAGACGCCAAAAAACCAGCTTGGTATCGTCCCAAGCGCAATGCCCGCCAGGTGGATAACCCGAACATTAGGGACAGGTGGGACAGCTGAACCTGCTCCGGGAGGAGCTGAACACATTTCATACCTCCGACACCAAACCAACAAACCTCCGCTTCAGAAGGCACACAACCCAAAAGCTCACCTCCCAGACGGACACCCGCATCTCACCTGGGAGTATAACCAGGAAAAGGACATCCATATATTATCTGTTTTCCAAGTGCACCCTGGGAATTGTTACTTGTACCGAAGGAACTGGTACTCATTTATCTACCTCAAGGGAATGAATAGATGAGCCACCGCCGCTGAGAATTGAACCCGAACCCCCCCAAGGATTGAACAAATTCCACGAAACCAGCATTACTTCACCAAGACATCTCACCATTTCTTTGCATCACATGCGCTGACATACCCATTCTAAAAGCCTCCAAGGCAGCGCTAAACCGAAAGGAATGACAAGATTCTTTGCTGACTGTCCCCAGAACCATCAGACTTGAGCGAAAGACCCAAAAATTGGGAATGGGTAAGAAAATAAAAATAAATCACATCCGCATAACTCAAAAGAGGGCCCGTGCATACTGGGCGCAGCTCACAGTTCTCTACAAAGGAAAAGTGCAACAGCCAAACAGCCATACCCTTCCCGAAACAACATTCGACCTGGATTGTCAAACACTTATAGTGATATGATCTGCAGGGCGCCGACTGGCGGCAAACAATACCCCACCACCGCATGGCCTACTAGGAATAACCAAAACCCCAACATGCACGACCCCCAGGAGCATAGCGTCCAGGTGGCCGTGGAAACCGATCCACGGACCCATTCAGACTGTCCGCCAGGCAAGGCGTCCCCTCCAGATCCGCCTGCGAGGCGATTGCCCCTTAAGCAAGCGAGGGAAGCGAGGGAAGGAGGCTGTCAGCCGAGTAATGGCTTGAACAACCCCCAAATTGTCGCAGTGAAACACTACCCTTAGATCCTGAAACGTGACTGCCAGACCTCCCCCACCACCAAAATGGGGAAACACTCCAAAAAGCCCAGATTCTTTGTGAGCCCAGAGACATGCCAACTGTCCGGCCACACGGGAGCACACCAATTAGAGCCCAGAATGGCCCCAAACAGAATGGCGCCAGCTGCGTCCGTAAATAGGTGGAGGTCGGCGTTAGAAACCTCCGGCCTTTGCCAGCAGGACCGGCCATGATATGCAGCTAAGAAGGACTCCCAAAATCTCCCGCAGCAGCCGAGTGAGCCGAATGAAATGGCGAGGCCCGGAGACCACGGCTGTCGCCGTAGCCAGACGCCGGTTAAAGACCCGCCACACGGGCATGATCCGACAGGCAAAATTCAGCTCACCCAGGAGCGACTGCAGGCAGCGCAGCTGAATATCGCGCTGCCCCATGGCCAAGGCCCCTTCGCGCCGCCAGCCTTGAATCTTATTCAAAGGCAGGCGGCAGTCCCACGCCAAAGAGTCAATCTCAATGCCCAGAAAGCTGAGAAAGTGACCGGGCCCACCGTCTTGCCATGTGCCAATGGGATCCCAAACTAATGGAACACCTCACCCAGAACCCGTCGCAGCAGCGAACAGGCTGTCGAATCGGCAGGACCCACACAAATTAAATGATCAAGGTAGTGTAGCAAGGAGACTATACCAGCCTCCTCCCTCACCACCCAGACCATGAACGTGCTGAAGCATGCAAAGTAACAACAGGATATGGAACTACCCATAATGAGGCACATATCTACGTAATACATGCCTACAAAAAAAACACAGCCCAGAAGATGGTGACATCCCGGGTGCACTGGCAGTAGACGGAAGGCCGAATCCACATCAGCCCTGGCCCAACAAGGCGCCAGGGCCCATACCATATCAACCGCCACGTCAAAGGATGCATAAGATACCCATCAGAGTTCCCAAGAGATGTCGTCATTTACCAACCCCCCCCCCGGGGGTACGATAAATGGTTAATCAGACGGTATTTGTCCAAACCCATGCTCAACCCATCCAGTAGGATGCCAGCCACCCGACGATTTCTATAAACTGGAGAGCCAAGGGCGCATCGCGCTCATGACCACTGGCGTCATCGCCCTCTGACCCCAAATCCCCAAGTGGAACATTCGTGCTGGAAACAGCAAGATGCCCCCCATTTGCAGTGACTGTCGTTGAATTTCAACAACAGCCCGGCCTCCGATGCGCGACCGGTGAGGAGGAGGACCCCCCCGCCAACTGTTGACAGAACTGCTCGTCATATTTCCACCATCCCAGACTGCCATAGGTACGACAAGCGTTCCAAATGGTATCCTGGTAGCAGAACAATGCGGAGCACTTCTGCGGAGCCCTTTCCCCAGTTACACTGGCCAGGATTGCAAACACGCAAATCCAATTTGCGCAAGTCATAGGGATCTTCCGGTACTGGTATTTCTCCTTGTCTTTTTTTTTTTTTGATTCCTACCCGTCCTTGTCCATTAAAGGAGGAGCCTCCTCCATGGGAAGGAGGGAAAAATCTCAACAAAGTCTCCCCTCCAAATTTTTTACGAACCTCCTGATGAAGGTGCAAGCCCAAGGGCCCTGACCAATGCATAGGCGGACCCACGCGAAACGGCAAACCTGGGGGGGGAGCCTAATGCTAGGGACCCCGTAGCAGCAGCAGGTGCTGCGGCACCCGACGCCGTAGCAGGGGTGCCAGCATGCACACCCACTCCAGGAGAGGGTAACAGCGTGACCCCAAAAACAGACAAAAAAACCCTGTGGCTGCAGCGCCGGGGACCACACTAACCGGAGCTGACCATCTAATGGGGGGACCCTACCTGCTTGCGCACCCTGCTCCCTTTATTTTATTTATTTTTTAATTTTATATTTTTTTAATTTTTATTTTTTTATTTTTTTGACTGATCAAGAAAACCCCCCAGCGAGGAACCCCTGGACTGAAAAGAAGAAACATTAGTGAACTCACCAGCCGATGCCCGAGGAACCTCCCGCGGCAAAGGAAATGAAGATGATCCAGGCAGCAGAGAGTTAACTTCATTTTCAGCACTGCTCAGCCTTGCAGCAGCACCAGGCGCCATCTGCTGGCCGGTCCCAGGAACTGCAGCCACAGCAGCCAGATCCTGTAAGAAGAGCAGCGGAGAGGAGGTAAGCTCACACCCCGCAGAGGAGGGCAGCCGAGGTGAGTACCCAGGGGTGCAGGGGGGACATAGGGACCAGAAATAGAGACAGAAGAGACAGGAGGGAGGGGGGAGGAGGGAGGGGGGAGGAGGAAGGGAGACAGAGAGAGAGCAAGGAGGGGGAGCAGAGAGTGGAAGGGGGCCCAGCCCAGCAGGAACAGGGGAGGAGGAGGCAAGCATAGAGGGAAAGGGGGCACCAGAGGAAGAGGAAAGGGATGGAATCACAGGGGGGGGAGGAGGGAGAGGGGAACTGCTGACAGAACCCGGGGGAGGAGAGGGGGACCCCCCCGGCCGACCCTCATCCCCAGAGGAGCCCACAGAGCCCGGGGAGGACCCCCCTCAACCCCCCAGCGGCAGCACAGCCATGCCCCGCGTGGCCCTGAGGGGCCCACTCACCACCACCGGCCCGGCTCTGGATCCGCCGACCACGTGGGGTCTGGGAAGGCCTCCCAGACCCCCCAGGATGCTCTGCAGCTCTTCTGGCACCCCTGGCCTGCTGTCCACGGCCGGGGGTGCGCGGGGGGCGGCAGTAGATGCAGGCCGCGTGGCAGATGGAGCAGCTTGAGCTGCCATGCGGGCCTGGTGGTGCCTCGGGCCTGAGCTCCGGCTCCTATACCGGGCCCGAGGTGAGGGATCAGGGCTCAGACGAGCAGGCGGGCGGGAGCGCCGGCCTGTGCTCCTGCGGCCTACAGGGGCTGTAGCCGCGTGGGAGGCCCCAGGAGAGGCCTGACCGCGGGGGGGGTGAACCCACACCGGCGGCCACAGGTTGGAGGTGAGCATATTGCTCCCTCAAGTGCCTACCACCATCCAGGGCAGCTGCAGCTCTGAGGGCAGACAGGATGCCTTCAATATCCATCCCTCAAGCAGGAAAGTCACCAGGCCCAGGACAAACAGGAGCGCAGAGGCAGGGAAGTTGTTTGCTGGCCAGAATCCCAAAAGGCACTGAGGTAAGATGATCCCTGCCCCACTACAAACCCATAACCACTCCCCTAAACACATATAGCCAATCACTAGCACCATCCCCACACTCATACATGTGCCCTTGTCCGTTTAGCTATGCTGACTCCCCAGGGCCTAGACACCCCCAATAAAGGAGTGGTTCTGCAGGTGGTGACTACAGACCACTGACAAATCCTTTTTTAGATCCTTTTCTTGGGCCTGATCCATCACGGGTTTGTCACGTTGCACCAAGTCTGACTCTTTGTATTCCATTTGAGGATCACAGTCTTCTTTACTTGGCGACAACTCATTTTTCACAGTTGCGGTTGTAAGAGAGGTGCCAATCTTCGAACCCCCAGAGGTAGAAGGGTTAAAATTGGAATCATCAAACCATAAATAACACAAGCACAATACGGCAAAATACACACCTACATTTAAGAAAAATAGACAACAAGCTTAAAGATCTTGTTTTGCACAGTAATACTGAAAGGTTGCCTGCCCCGATATAGGAATTAGTATTATAGGAATTTAATACACCTAAGGAATATTAAACACCTAAGGAATCAGAGGTACCAATTTCTACACCTCTTCCCAAGTCATCCTACAAATTTGACTCAGATCAAATAGACATGGTTGAGTCATCTAATACTGGAGACTCAAAACTGGAAGAGTCACCTATAAAATTTGCTCCTTGCGATGCAAGTGACGACAAGGCTGGACCATTGAAGTTGGAAACCAATCTCGTTGAAGGTGATCCTCCTGTCAAAAGGCCCCCACGTCGGAAACTTGGTAAACGACCTACTTCTTTTAAAACACCCTCTGAGAATGATGAAAAATATAATGCTGAAAAACCTAAGGTGAAAGCTTCAGAGCAACCATTGGAAGAGGAGGTTATTGTGCCAAAGGCAGCTCACGACTTTTATATGTAGAGGTTTGATGTTATTTATGGATGCTAAAAATGCTTGGTAACATTGTATGTGGAGTGTTATATTGTATAAGTTCATTAATATTCATAATATTGTATATGTTCAAAGTTCCTGTGGAACTCGCTTCCCTCCTCCGTTAGATGCCCACCCAGTCTCCACTCCTTCAAAAAATCGTTAAAAACCCACTTCTTCATAAAAGCGTATCAATTAAACTGTTAATAGCTCCTGACTGATTCCTCTTCTGCAACTGTCACTAGTCTAATACTATCCTTACCTTTTTGTGTCATTTTACCCCACTCCCTCTAGCATGTAAGCTCATTGAGCAAGGCCCTCAACCCCTCTGTTCCTGTGTGTCCAACTTGTCTGGTTACAACTACATGTCTGTTTGTCCACCCATTGTAAAGCACTGCGGAATTTGATGGCGCTATGTAAATACCATAATAATAATAATAATATGGCTCTCACCTGGTAAGATGAAAGAAAGCATTGCTTATTAGGCCAAGTGGTGAGGATGCGGTGTTGAATACTGGTAAGATATAATTTATTGGTGTTGAAGGATAGCTTTAGGTGAAGGTGTTAAAAGGAAATTAAAGCAATCATTGTTGAGTTTCCATAGAGAATTTGTAGATTATGTGGAATTCAAGCAAAAATCTGTTGAAAATATGAAAAGCCCTGTCATATGATTTCCTTGTGCTATCAGAAAGACCTAGTTGTAAGAGGTGATGCCCGTGAGTCCATAGCAATGTCCTGCCACTGTGGTGCCAGGGTAGGTATCAGGGCTGCTATTGGTAGTGAACAAGCCCAGTCTCATTTTTTTTGTAACAAAAATAAAATAGACAATGACTAAATAACAATGTATATGTAGGTTGTAGGCAGTAGTAAGTAATAGTATTGATTAAAAAGACCCATTTAATAAAAAAAAAATGACAGTATAAAAACAGATTAAAATCTCTTTGCTGTGACAATAATGACCTAATGGCACCATAAAGACAATCCATCTAGAGATTGTGCTAGAAAACAAAACAATAGTATCAAATGCATATAACCTGTTTTTCAGAAAGGCCGGTGTACCGAGGAAAAGTTCAATGATGCTCTCTCCAAGAAAAACAAAGGTGTCTCTTTATCTTAACCACTCTTGAGTCCTTCTCACTGCACTAGTGCTACTACCAGATGGATCCATCTACTACAGATGACAACCTAAACAACTCAAGAAATGAAGTGCACTATGGTGCAGGAGTAAACTGAGGCACTTCAGACGTTAGTGCTTAATTTTTCCTTTTTAATCCATCCAACAGTGTATAGACATGCAGCACCCAACGCTAAACACATTTCATACCCCTCTGGTGCATAGTCATGTGTTCAGCCAAATGTGACCAACCTCTAGAATGACTACAATTAAAGGGTCCACCGGCAGCTGTGAATGTATACGTGTTAGGATTGGCCCAATTTGTCAGATAAATGCCAGGAATTGTGGGATGCCTTGACTGTCACTTGAGGATGGGGCAACATACATTCTCAGAAACCATGTTGAAGAAGGGTGAAGCGGTCTTCAGAAAATGCTTGTCTATTAATATATGCCCTTGCTGATGATTTCACAGTAACTCTTTATAGTTTACATCTATACCTACCTGAAGGAAACCTTCAACTTAACACCAAACATGAGTCTATTTTGGTCTCCCAGGTCAGACAATTGAAGAAGTAGGCATGTGTAGCTGATCTCAGTGCTGGAGTAGAGGTAAGTTTTAGCAGTTTTTGTGGGGGAAACCACCCTATAGGGTTAGAATTTTCTAAAATACAATTTAGTTTTTTTGTTTGTTGGAGTAACTCTTTAGTATATGTTGAGATGCGTTATTATTCTGGACCGGCTGCAAAGGCTATGAATGTGGTTTTCAGGAGCACATGGCGCTCATTGCCCTGATGAGATTATCCATACCAATTCACCTTCCCAGATAGTTTACTCAGTCACAACTCTGGCGATGTTTATTCGTCGTATGATCTGTAGAAAGTGCAGTTACAACAGGTAAAAGAACGATTCTTCCATACAGGTTAGGAGAGAAACAAGTCATATGAATGTACAGCATAAAAAGATACTAATACAGGAAAGGGGGAGGGGAGTACCTGAAGCAGCATGCAAACTACGGAGTGGCACAAGAGGCAAACTTAAGATGAACATTAAAGAAACAGTACATTATAATAAAACAATATCATGTAACATGACACTCCCCGCCTGAAATCTTTAGATTTCAAAGCCTATTTATATATATATATAAAAAGATAAGTCCAAATGTCTAAAAGTCCAACTTGAACTTGTAAGTGAAGAAAACATTGGAATATAATGCTGGTGTGTAAACCATACATACGAGATACCTGCAAAACAGAGAAGGTATGCAGTAAATGAACAACCAAACATGAAGTCCAATAACGGATGGCTAAAGTCCTGTAGTCTACAGTTTATAGCCGTGGCGCTTCAACAGTGGCATAGTTAACAGTTATAGTGGCGTTCTCCCCGCCATAGCACCGTACCGCCTGGTACTCTTGCATAAGTACCAATTCTTAGGTAATGTCAGTGGAAATTGAGTAGGGGTTTTCACAAAGAAATCTTGGAGGCGACAGCCACAAGCAGCAATGGAGAGCTGCTGGGGATATAGCTTGTTAAGACACCTCCAGTGTCTTTAGGCAAAACCGCCGTTTAGTAGACCTTCCCCGGCTGCAGTACAGTCTCCGTTCGCTTAATCTGTAATATACGAACCAAATGCAGGGGAAGCGGCAATCTCCCGAACGAGATCCGTGAACAGCTCGAAACTCCCGAACGGCAATACACGAACTGCTGGTAACCGTCGAACAGCAATATTCACCAAGCGGCTTCTGTTCCATCCAGCAGTCTCTAAACGTGAAGAAGAAATACCCCCAATAACGAGACAGAAGCTCCGCATTGAGGGTCAAACAGGATCTCTCTTTACTGTGGGCTACCTGCAGGTCTCCCACTTGGTGGACACTCCCCTAGGGGACCAAATGGGAGACTGGAATTACAGATAGACATGGGGACATTCCAGACATACAGTTACAGATTTTACCCACAGTGCATTATGATTCCCTCCCCTCTGTCCTGGAGTTAATTACCAAGTAACTCAATTAACTCCAGAACAAAGCCAGTCGCCATTTTAAATATAAAATCACAAAAGACATAAAAATATATAACTTCACAAAAACCGAACATTTCCCATTCGTATTACATATCCCCAGATAGCCTGGATCTGAGTGCATATTATTAGCGAATAGCGCTCAGATCCCACACACATAGTTCAATCGCCATGGAGTCAAAGTTCTTACAGTCTTTCGGTATACGAATGACTCCATGGGAAGGCTATCTGGATTAAGTCTTTTCGTATGCTCAAAAACTCCCGAACGGCCGGTGTTCGTATGGTTTCGTGGAGGCAGCCAGGCGTTCCGTTGTTTCAGCGGTGTTCGGCAGAAAAAGTGTCCCTTTTTTAGTTCCACAGAAATAGAGCCAAACACCGCTGGGCGTTCGCTTGGTTTAAAATGGCCGCTGCCTCGTGGTCGACATATGAACGACGACCACCCTGAATTCGGTTTAATTGAGAAGTGTCTGCGGTTAACCACAACGTTCTAATTGGGATCAATAGGTTAACCAGCGGCACACTTCTCTACTGGGTGGCCGTTCGTTCGGCAGTTTTGTTCGGGAAAAAAGAGTCATTCGAATGGCTGGGCTATGGAAACCAGCCATTCATACGAACGGGAGACAAACAGACGAATGCAATTAAAATACAAGCAGACAGATGGTTCTGTCACATAGCTCTTGTCCCATAATCAGCAGGATTAAGGTCAGTGGGAATATAATGCCATTGCTTTGGCAGAGAGAACCTTCTGATACATTCTACTCGATTACTGACGTACACGTAAAATTCTTTAGTTTGGTTGTAAATGTAACCAAGCACTATCTTACTGTCTGTGTAAAATGTGAAGGAATCGATTTTAATGTCCATTTCACTATTTATGACTTCAGCTAATTCCACTGCTAGCACGGCTGCACATAGTTCAAGTCTGGTTTTGGTGTAAGCTTTGCCTTGCCTAGAACAAAATTGCAATGTATGTCTCCGTTAACCCCTGAGGTCTTCAAATAGGCCACTGCAGCTATAGCTTCAACTGATGCGTCTGAGAAAATATGGATTTCCCTCTGGTTAGCAGCTGCAATGGCGACTGGGGCATAGCAACGTGGAATTTGGAGCTGTTCTAGTGGCTTCAGAGAACCTCTCCATTTCTCCCATCTTTGTTGTTTCTCAATAGGTAACAGAGTGTCCCAATCTATGTTGCAGCACCTTGGGTGGTGGATGGGGCTATAAATCCCAGTGGATCGTATGGACAAGATTCCTCTCTTGGTAAAAGGTTTGTTACAGGTTGACACTTGAAAGGTGAATGTGTCTTCTTTGAT